GACTAAAACTAATATTAAATCAGTTTCGACTAAAACTACAAATAAACCAGTAAAAATTAAAGTAGTGATTAAAAATTTGTTTTAACTTTAACTAGTTTTTATTATTACACTAAATTGCAATTTAAAATCAAAAACAATTATTTATAAAATATTTGAACTTATTTATGTTTCGTATCATTCAGTTTGCTTTATGTTTAAATGAAAGCAAAACCATATTCAAAAAAATAGTTAAATAGAACATTTAATAAAAGTATTATATACAACATTTTCAACAATTAGGTAGTGTATGTATTACATTTATTACATAGTTGTGGAAATAGTTCAAAATAAAGTTTCATCTTTTTTATACAATGTTTCTGGGGATTTTCACAGTATTAAAATAAAATTGTTACTCAATTTTTTATATATGAAATAACAAACAACAATAACTTCATATCATGAAACGGAATAGTTTGTTTAATTGCATTTTCCTATTATATTAAATCAGAAACTATCATTCTCATGACAATTATCAAAAACTTTACATAAGAAATTCAAGTAAATACCATGACCAGATTTAAATGACTGTTATTTGATAATTTGAGATTATTTTCAAATGACTCAAACAGTGACTTAGATATAAGCAAGTTAAAAAAAAACAGAAAGAGTATTAAGTGCAGTAAACTAGTCAACAATATATTGAAAACATGATGAACACCGTTTAATCATTTGCATTTATGCTCTGCCAATCTTCTTCACTAAGTACCATTGCACGTCCAGAAACTACAACCAAAAAAAGTGTTAAAGCTTTTTTGATTATTTGATCCTATTTACACCATATTTTGTCTTCACGAGTTGGATATTTGAATTTGTTCATTCTTGTCATTTGAAATGTGAATACTTCACATTTAGCTAAAACTGCATCTTTGTCAAGTATCTGCCCAACGTAATGCTTATTATAGTATTGAACAATTCACCAGTCGTGCACTTCGAGCATAATAAATTCAACTGTTGTTCAACATTTGAAGCACCATCAGCATTTATCAGACCGTGTGACTGACTAACTATTTAAGATTGCCCATCTGCACCTAGTTGTACAATATCTGTTGCTTTATTGAGCAGATTAGATTCAATCTTAGCAACATGTTCATTTTCTGTGACGACTTTCAGCAGACCAAAATGAACCCTCCGTGCTTCATGGCAATTACATGCGTTCGGGATCTGGCAAAAGCATGAAAAATTACGAACAGAAACAGTTCCCTTCTCAACGAATTGCAATTGATTGCAGTTTGATTGTTCCTGCAATAGGTTTTACTCCTTCGGGGATCATTTTAGCTATAGCACCAATATCTTCTTTGCTGACTACAAATAGCTTGATAACAGTCTTCTGGTGTAAAGCTTCTACAAAATTTGACGCTGAAGTTATCATGACACAATGGTCGGCTATCAGCTTCAAAGTAATTCCAGCTGCCACCTGTAAATCTTTTATCGTACAAATAATGACAAGTTAACAGCATATGATGCTTGTTCATATACTGTGTTGTTAGCCCATCTCTCCAAAAATGTATTGTTGGAAGTGTTGGATGATGTTCTTTTAGATGAAGCAGAACTGGCAGTAAATGAGCCCATTTTGCAATAAGCTCATGCTTGGTGCAATCTAACACTGTGCAAAATGATAAAATTTCTTCCTTCAAGTATGAAACACCGGTGTGTAGGAATAATTGATTGTTGGATGTACCAAAGTGCGACGGCTGTCTCCAACTTACACGCATAGTTTTCTGAAAAGTCAACAACTATTACTGCAGTGCTATCCAAAAGGCTAGACTTCAGCATGCAATAATTTTTAAACTGGTGGCTAATAGTGAATACGTAAAGACATAATGACGGAATAATTTCCAAATATGCTCCTACATGCTCTCAAACAGTCCCGTTAATTTACTGTTTTATAGTTTTCTTTACTGTTGTGTTCTTTTCTTTGATCAGTCTGTTTTCCTGAAATGTGTTTCATTGCTGCTATTTTCATGGTTGTTCTCCTCCAAACTCTCTTTACAGTAATTTTTTATCTTTTAAGCAATATGTTTTACAGGTTTTCAAAAAGCACTTTTTTTGCAAATTATTGCAAATTATCTTTTTTACACAATTACAAACAGTCATACAATTTGACGGCAAGATCTTAAGCTGAGCAAGCTTGTTAATAATAAACTGTCCACTTTCATGCAGCTTGCAGAGGCACGTTTCTCTGTCACGTGCAGTCGGAATTATCACCCAAAATGGTTTACAAGCACAAAATGTAGCATATGAAACTTTTATGTTTGGGTTTTCTACAGCAAACTTTTTGTGTAAGTCTGAAAGTGTACTTAGCAAAAGTCTCCGTTTTTTTTCTTCACCTTTACGCGTGATAGTGTCTCTCTTGCTGGTAGTTATTCTACTATTATCATCTCTTTCATAGAATGCAATAGATGCATAACGAAATACTGTAGACTTATATCTTGCACGATACTGTGAGCAATTTGATCTTGATAAACGGCGTGTACTAATACCAGTCAAATGCTGATATGTTTTCATTAGTTTATACTTCCTCATCAATTTAGATGTAATTATTTTTGCAATGACAAACTTTTCTCTGTCTAATTTGGTCGTTGAATACTTCTTGCGTAAGGTATCATAAAATATTATGAAACAGAAGTGCTCTTTTGATTTCAGGACGTCCATGCAAACCTTGGGTCGTGTTTATCATTTTACTGTGTGGCGTGTTATTGTTTAATGATTTCTTAATTAATCTTTCTGCTTGCCTTCGATATTTATTGACTTGCTTAGTTAGCTTCATTACCTGTACTCGTAGCTTGTTATCAGTCGATACGCTTTATTTCGTTCCTTTCTAATGCGTTTTCTGCCTTGAATTTTCTGCCTAGTTTCATTGTGGTTTGGAATTGATGAACTAGGTAATAAAGGAAATGATGTATCTGGTAGAAATTCTATACATAAATCATTTCCCGAAGACAACCGTGTCTTTGCATTTGCTCTACTGCGCTGCTGCGCTTTTTGGCATTGTTTCCATTGACGTAACTGCTCACGTTCAGTCCTCGGCTTTGTGGCTTTTCTTCTTTGCATTTGACTCTTTCGTTCCTTCTTCTTATAATCTTCGAATTTTACAGGATTATTTCTTATTTTGGCTCTGAATTTCAATTGCTTTTCCTGGTTTGATTTTGTCTTCTTTGCCATAATTGTAATTCAGATCTCTGGGGCCATCCATAAAGAACGTCACGATTTTTTAGCCAATTTTTGACCTCCTCTCCCCCTTGTCACCGGTTGTCCTTATTCCCTATACCCCCTGGAAAAAGACACCATAAAATCCTGATCCCCCTCCCTATTTTTAACTCCCAAAAAATTTATTTCATCTTGCAATGATGTTTGAATCTGCTGCTACGCCTTTGAAAAATAAAATTAACAATATTCTCATACATAATCTCTCAAAAACACATGTTTACTTAGTTTTCCATGTTAATTAAACTAAAATAAGAAATCTATAAAGTGACGTTCTTTTCTGACAACTTCCCCCTCCCCTTGTCCTTTTTAACTCGCCCCTCTCCCTCTATTTGGATGACGTCCTTTATGGATGGCCCCTCTGATAGAAACAAATTTTACATCAGTTCTTTAATATCGATAGCTTAGCAGCAAAATAGAACTATAAAATGATAGTTTAGAATAAAAAAATACTTATGGTTTAAAATAACAACTATACTTATGGTTTAAAATAAAGTTTTTAATATTTTTCCACTTTGAGGCTTTTTGTTTTCCTCTGGACCACTGTTTTTTTGTACTTTTATCTCACTCTGCTAAACTCTTTTTAACTTATTATTCATCCCTGAGGCGTACACTGCTCGGTGCAGCTTCACTAAAATGCATTGCATTTACAAAAAGTAAATTCTTAATTATCCAACTAATAAACTGGTTTTTTACATAAACGGTCATTTATTTAACAAGTTTGTCAAATACGTAACGCTATTGTCACGTCCGTAACGTAATTAAGTTAGGTACATGACTGTTACGTACTTGACATTTTTACTATGTTTCCGTTCATAGCTATGAACGGAAATATTTATATCTTTGAAATTTATATGATTAGATACATTTTGTTGTTATTTATTAAAAAAATCATCGAATTGACTAATTCATTCACATATGCATAGGTTTAAAATGAATTAGTCAATTCAATGATTTTTTTAATAAATAACAACAAAATGATATAAAATAATATAAAATGATATAATATTTCAAAGATATAAATATTTATCTTAATAAAAATTCATCCGTTACGTGCCTGACAATTCAAAACAATATGCTACGAATCGATTTATTTTAATAAGACAACGCAATAAAATTTTCCTTAATTACCGCTCATATATAGATTCCTAATAATACGCAAAAACTTTAAAATAAAATAAAGCATTTTTTTACGGTGAATACCCAAGGGATTTATTATTTTGTTGTTGTTGCGTACTTGACAGTAAAATGAAGGACTTTTATTGAGCAAACACGCAGCCATATAATATAGGTAAAATATTCAAATCAGACATTTTAATATTTTCAATTCAAGAGTTCAGCAATAATTTTGGTGACTTAGGCATAGTTAAATACCAGATTGTATTGAAAATCTATGCAAAACATAGCACTATTAATACCGAGGACACGTAAAATCTGAAACCATAACTTCAGAAAACCTTAGACCATTAAATTTAAGTAAGATGAAACTTTTCAAAATATTTAAAATTTGTATAAGTAGCTGTTTTAGAACATAAGATCATAATTTTTATGACGCAAAATGTTTTAACTATATGTTTGAACTTATTGGACAGACAAAATGCACCTAATTTCAGCAATACTCATATATCTAATATTAATCAAGCAAAAAAAAAGTTATTTATTATTAATGAGATTTTGTTTACCAATAAGTTTAAATTTAAACCAATTAAACATTTTATTGGTTTAAATTTAAACAACAACAAAGAAAAAAAAAAAAATTCAAATAGCAAAAACATTTATTTAAGATATCAAAGTTTAAGGCAATGGAGGATGTGTTCGAGAACCCAAATATGATTTTAGTTCAGCACTATGTCTTACTCGATCATTTAAATCTTCTAGCATAGGAAAATCATATAGCAATGACTTGTCAACCATTCCAGTAATGTGAAAGAATACTATATCCCCAAGAGTAATCTTAAAAATATTAATGAATTAAAACTTGGTTATGCAACAAAAAACAACAGTATTAAAACAACCTAGTTTTTTAGCATTAATCAGAAATCAAACTAAAATACATTTAATATCAATTTAAAAAAATGTATGAAGTTAAAAATCTTACCGAATCACCAACAAAAAATTTTTTGCCATCGTTATTACGCTTCAGTAATCTTTCAATAAAAGATAACTTTAATTTAGTTGACTCTTTTGTAAGCACTTCTGCACACGCTTTTTTCTGAAATTAACAGCATAAATTAACATAAAGTAAAATAACAGATCAAATATAACAATATAAATGAAATACAACAATATCAAAATATAACAATATCAAATGAAAACCAACAAAAATATAAAAATTATCAATATTATTTGAAAAAATTCTAAAAAACTAAAAAAAAGTTATTATTCAAATTTAATTTGTAAATTTAAAAACGACTCAAAAAATACTTGGAGAACGTTGAAAGAAATAACAGGAAAACAAAAAACAAATACAAACTCCCTTCCTAAAGTAATTAAAATAAATATATATATATATATATATATATATATATATATATATATATATATATATATATATATATATATATATATATATATATATATATATATATATATATATATATATATATATATATATATGAACTAAACGAAATCGCAAACGAGTTTAACAAATATTTCATTGATATATGAACTAAATTGGCAAATAAGATCCCTATTACGGAAAAAAATTTTAGTGATTTCCTAGAGCCTTTAAATAATTCGCTTATTATAGATAATTTACATTCTGACTTATCGTGAGTTTAAGATTGCTTAAAAATCTCTCAAAAGAAACAAAGCTACGGGTGCGGACGAAATAAATGGCAACATAGTCATAAAATTCTTTGAAAACTTAAAATGTATTCTTTATAAAGTCTTTAGGGCATCTTACAACAAGGTGTATTCCCAGACCAATTAAAAATAACTAAAGTAACTCCTATTTACAAAAACGGAAAAAAATCAAATATTAGTAATTATCGCCCTATCTCAGTTCTTTTAACTTTCTCAAAAATTTTAGAAAGAATTATGTACAATAGAACATACAATTACCTTTAGCTAAATAAACTTCTACATAAAAATCAATTCGGTTTTAAAAATAATTGTTCAACTGAACAAACCATTACACAGTTCATTCGTGAAATCTTTAATTCATTTGGTAGATCACAATATACATTAGGTATTTTCATTGACCTATCAAAAGCATTTGACACGGTCGATCACAAAATTCTACTCAAAAAACTCAAATTTTAATAAAATGATATAAAAGTTACTTGAAAAATAAAAAAACAGTTTGTTTTCTATGGAGATTATTTTAAAAATGAAAAATTAATTGACATAAAATGTGGTGTTCCACAGGGTTCTATTCTAGACCCACTTTTATTTTTAGTCTACATAAATGATATAAATAAAGCTTCTAACCTTATGAGTATCATTTTTGCGGACGATACTAATTTATTTCTGTCAAACAGTGACATTTATGAGCTTTTTTCAAATATGAATAAAGAACTCAATCACATCTCCAACTGGTTTAAGTGCAACAAGTTAACTTTAAACATTGACAAAACAAAATGGATCCTTTTCCACTCTATTGCAAAAAAGCTTTTTTTACCAAATAACTTACCTAAACTTTTTATTGATAAAATTGAAATAAAAAAGGAGTCGGTCACAAGATTTTTAGGCATTTACATTGATTAAATTATTACATGGAAGTATCATATCGACTTTATTTCTACTTAATTGGCTAAAAGTAATGGAATTCTATATAAGGTAGATACTAAGTAAACAAAATTTAATTCAACTCTACTACTCATTTATTCATAGATATATAAATTATGCAAATATTGTTTGGGGAAGTGCCTCTAAAAGTTACGAAATCTCAACCATCGTCAGAAACACGCAATGCGTTTAAATGTTTTGAAAATCGTTTTTCTCATTCAAATATTTTATTTAAAAACGTTAAAGCACTTAACGTTTACGAACTCAATGTCTATAATATTTTATGTTTTATGTTTCGTTTTAAAAGTGAACAACCATTCTTCAATTTCAAAGATCTTTTTACCCATGAAGCTATAAACTAATATCCTTTACGAAATAATAGTTTATAAATTGAACCCTTTTGTCAAACAAAGTTTAATCAATTTTGCATAAACTATCGAGCACCGTATTTATGGAACAAAATCGTTGTTCCAAATTTTATTTTGTCAACTTCGTTTTCCGTTTTTAAAACTAAATTAAAAAACTATATTCTTTCTACTGGCACTATGTATAAATATTTTTGAAATGTAAAATTTTTTTTGACTCTTGATAATTTGTAAAATTATTTTCAGTTTTTGTTTCTTCTGCATTGTTAATAGTTATTAGATCAATTGTATTTTTATTTTATTATATGAACAAGTATGATAATGTTTATATGGTTCTGGCGACAAGAGTATTTGGACCTTCTTTCAGATACCACCCGCTGGGAAATCGGCTAGCGAATAGCTAGCTATAATCGTTACGATAAAGACAGCGATTTGGCCACGAGGATTGCTAGCTTTTTTAAGTTAGCAAAAAGCTATCGATATTTTTAAAGATAAAGACAGCAATTTGGCTACGAGGACAGCTAGCTTAATAAGCTGAAGATTCACTGGCTATTGTACCTAGCGTCATATTGTAATAAAATCGTTGTCTAAAAAATTTTGATATGTAGCTATCAACCAGATATAGGTTTGTAGATATTTTGTAGCTAGCTACAAAGCTACGATATGTAGCTAGCGACACATTGCTACAAAATCGCAATGTTGAAAGTTCAATTATTTTCATAATTATAATAGACTCACGACTAAAAATTGAATTTTTAAAGATGTTAAAGACATTTGCAAAAAATAAAATAAGAAAAAAAAATCGCTTGGAAATCGCTATAGAGCTAGCTAGTCGCTAGCTCATTCCCACCGGGCAAGTATATATATTGTTATATTGTTATACTACGATTAAAAAAAAAGCATACTATATAATAAAACTCAATTCATGCACAATACCGTACTGCATTGAGTTTTATTTTCACAACTGTAACAAATTACATTAAACATTTTAAGTATTGCTGCTGCATCAACAAAAAAATCAATTGAGCTGTTTACCTTTTGATCATTGTCTAATGTTTTACTTTTCCAAACAGCCAAATATTCATTAATAAAATCATCTAGAGTCTCACATACTTGATTAACAACTAGTTTTTCAAACGCATTTGCTCCATAAAGACCAAATGTTTCAGCCAAGTATATATTTATTGCTATAGATTGACAAATAACATGTCCATCTACTTCTAAAGTTGGCATTTGTCCCAATGGAAACCTAGAATCTATATTTAGTATTAAATACTTTTAAAAGCAAAAGTAGCTTAGTTTTAAATGCTGTTAAAAGCTAAAAAAATAAATCAACGAAATATAAAACTGATATACTCCACTAAAAAAAAAAAATTATATATATTGTTGATAAACTTACTATCACTTTTGAGAGATGGCCAGTCTTGGAAGCTAATTCGATTGTCTGTAAACTTCACACCTTTACAATGAAACAAAAGTCTAGCTACTTCAGCTTTTCCTTGAAAACTGAAATAGTTCAATACATACTTATGAGACATTTTTCTATATTCATCTAATGATTTTTGCTTTAAAAATATTTTAAACAAGTATATACAAAAGTATACAACGTACATTAATAGAAAAAGACCAATTCTACACAGGGTGTGCTCAATTAGACAAAGTCGTATTAAGCACACCCAGTGGGTACAGTACTTTCATTTGACATCTTAAGGACGTCAAACGGACTTGTAACATTTATAAGATATCGTATAGATGTCTTACGGACGTCTGTGCTTGCTAAGCAAGTAATTGAAAAGAATACTAAAGTATTGTAGAGAGAGCAATACTTACGCAAAAAAATGTATACTAGTTGAGTGGCTTTACAATATGTAAAGAATTATTTATTCAAATAAAGTATTGATAAAAACCTTTTTTCATTCTATAACAAATTATACAATCATTTAAACAAGAAAATTTTTTAAAATCGTTTATTCAGTAGCACATGTGCAAAATTTTATCACAAAAAAAACTTGTTAAAGATTAGTCTTATAATCTTTTGTTATGATTTAGTATTAAACAACTAATAAATGTTTTGAAAACACTTAAACAAAGAATGGTATCTTAATCAATCGACAAATAAGGTATTTTATAATTGCTTTAAAAAAATTAAATATGGTTGTTATCAATGGTCATAATTATGTCAAACAACTTTCTTTTAATAATAAATTTTTTAATTTGCAAAGTGATTTTGCAAGGTGCAAAATATATTTTTTAGTTGATAATATAAATTAAAACTACTCTACTAATATAAATTTGATGCTTGGACGCACTTTTTTGAAAATGACAATTAAATGTTGTAATAAATCTGTTTTTTATCAATGATTTCAATATTTAACTCTTTCAATTAATAAAACAAATGAAATACAGTGGTTTTCAAAAATATATTTTGAGGAAAGTCATTAATATAAAAAACAAAAACAAAAGTGCGGCAATTAAAGAATCTTGTGGTACACCACTGAAAATCTTAACCAATCAGAGACGATTTAACCTTAAACAACTCTTTGTCTTCTGCTTTCTAGGAATATATATATATATATATATATATATATATATATATATATATATATATATATATATATATATATATATATATATATATAGACATTTTAGTTCTTGCAACCAAAGAGCAGGCGTTTTCGCGACTTTAGACATTTTTGCTTACAGGAAAAGGGACCTGAGAATGCAGTGGTACGTCAGAACGTTAGAACGTCAGAACGTCAGAACGTCAGGACTGACTTAAGTTAAGCAACGTAAAACTCGAATTTTTTTTTATTAAATAATGAAAGCCGTGAATAATCTGAACAAAGGATACAATGTTAAATCATAAAAAATTAGATATCACCCTAAGAAAACATTCTAATTTAAAAAAATGTTGAAAAAGTCTACTAGCCGTTAAAAAATTTTTTCAGCCCTTCTGAAAATAAGTTTGCAAAATGTTATCAGAAACGTTGCACAGTGACTCAAAACAACAAAAAAATGGCAATAAACCCCTCACCACTTTTTTATAAATTAAGTGCCCTTTGTTAGATAATATTAAAAGACAATGATTTTTTATTTCAAAAGTAAAAATAATTTTTTTCATAAAGCTTTTATTTTGTATTTTATAGGTAAAAGAAGTGAAAAAATTTGATATTATTTTTAAAGAAATCTGAAAAATGTGAGGTTTTTATTCAACTAAATTAGAGAATTTGAAATTTAAATAAAAGTGTATATTTATTTTTAAAATAATATTTTGACTCTATATATTTCAAATATACTAAAAAGGAAAAAAAAGTCTGATTTTTTCGTTTAAATTGAAAGACTTCTCTAAAAAAAAGTAGAAAATAATTGTATTTTTTTTGTTTATATATCATAAAAATATTTTTTTGTTTATATATCATTAAAAAATGTTCCACCGAGTTCAACAAATATATATATTTTTCAGTTAATTAACATTTCTACTTTAGGAATGTAAAAGGAATACTGCGGTCTCCTGCGGTATTGGAAGTTATTAAAGAAAAACAAATGTTGATGATTTTATAAAAACCTTGTTTTCCACCATTTTGCTAAAAACTTTATTATATCAAAACAGATGAAATTGGCGGGAAACTTAAAGTTATGTTTCTTGCTTGTAGAACTTGTTCTAATATAGTTTTTAAATCATAAATATTAAATATAGTTTTAAAAAACGTGCTTTTGTCATTATATACTTTTAAAAAGTTTGTTAAAATATTATTTGACAATTTTAAAGAACGATTTATTATTCGATAAGTACAACATGTTTGAAAAAGCTTAATTGAACAACTTTGGTATTTTCCGTTTCAAGAAATACCAAATTGTTACATTCTGTAATAACACATATTACTTAGTTCACTTTATATTACATGTAATATAAAGTTAACTAAGTAATATGTGTTATTACAGGATGTAACAATGTGAAAATTGTTAAAAGTCATAACAAGATAAAATTGAAACAGTGTAAAGTAAAAAAATATGTAATGTAATTTAAAATGTGTCTAATATATTAGTTTTATTATATTGATGGTTCTTAAAAAAGATAACAATGAAAAGATTAGATCTTACCCCAAATATACGTGAGTTAGGAGTTGATAAATTAAAATTATGGAAGGATTTACTTAATGAAATAAAAAATACTGAAAAAATTCGCAAAGAAAACTTAAATTAGGCTTGCTTTAGTTATATTTATTTCAAAGGTGAAGAAAAAACTAAAACAATGTGGACGAAACTATGATACATTTATATAAAAAGAAAATCGTTGGCTTCAAAAAAATCTTAAGAACAATAAAAATAGCCATTTTGGTTCTGGCCCCATAAACAATGGAGTGTTCTTGAAGAGAAAATGAAACAATGAGAAGAGAAAAATAAACAATGGAGTGTTCTTGAAGAGAGAAGCAAAAGAAAAAAAATAAAAGAACTAGCCACTGAACATCATGAAGCTCTATTTTTAGCTTCTGCAAAAAGTGCAAATGCTGCTGGAGAAAAAAAAAGCCTCTGTTTTAAAAAACAATATATCTAATGTTTTAGAGATAGAAAAAGTTGATAAAACTTTGGATAAAACCTTTCCCATTAACATGAGTGTAGAGGATACTCTTGCATTAAAAATGAATACTGATCTCAGCGATAAACAATATCAAATGATCAGAAACTCAACTCTTGTACACAACGTACATATTTATGCTACCTTGCACGATATTTTTGTGGAAAAATTGAAATGCTATCCTGAGAATATACATTTTTCTGAAATTTCTGTAAATTGTACTCTTCAAAGCATGTTAGATCACACTGTGAGTAGAATAACAGAAATGATTGATATACCTAATTTTGGTCAAAGTGATGAAATATTTGGAGTTTTATATGGAAAGATTGGTTTTGATGGAGCATCAAGCCAAAGTATTTACAAACAGAAATATGATACAAGCAACGCAAGTATAGAACTTAAGCATGAAGAAAATCTTTTTAGTTCAGCTTTTGTGCCTTTATTGCTCAAAGTAGAAGATGGCAAAATTTGGAAAAATGAAAGTCCTTCAAGCTTTCACTTTTGTAGACCTCTTCATCTGCAATATAAAACGAGAGTCCAATTTTATCCAGAGAAGAAGAATCAGATCTAAAAAACCAAATAAATACCTTAAAGACGTTTTGCAAAGTTTTTAATATTGCAGGAAGAATTTTGACATTTAATATCAGCTATAGGAATGATTTTACAATGTTTGATAATAAAGTAGTTAGCGCACTTACAGGGACAAAATCCACTCAATCCTGCAATGTGTGCAATGCTAAACCCAAGGAAATGAACAATATTGATTTATTAAAAGCAAAAACTAAGAATGACTCGGCCTTGGGGCTCGGAATTTCAGCTTTGCATTGCTGGATAAAATGCTTGGAGTTCTTTCTTAATTTGAGTTATAAAATTGAAATTAAAAAGTATAAGCCAAAAACAATTGAGGAAAAACTATATGTAGACTTGAAAAAAAAAAAAAGATTCAGGTACTCTTCAGAGAACGGTTAAGCCTATACGTTGATATGCCTAAAACTGGGTCTGGAAACACGAATAACGGCAACAATGCCAGAAGAGCATTTAAAAATAGTGAAGTTTTTACTGAAATTATTAAAGTTGATTGTGATATAATTAAAAGATTGCATAATATTCTCATAACCATATCTTGTGGATATCCTATTAATATCAATGAATTAGATTTATACTGCACTGAAACAGCTAAACGTATAGTGAGTTTATACAACTGGTATGTTATGCCTCCTACTGTACATAAACTACTACTGCATAGTTCTTCTATATCAAATAAATTACCTTTGCCAATCGGGGTATATTCGGAAGATGCACTAGAGAGTTTAAATAAACAGATAAGAAATTCTAGACTTAAACACACGGCAAAAATATCAAGGTTAAACACAATGACGAATAAGATGGACTACCTTCTAGTAAGATCAGATCCAAAAATATCAAGCATATCTTTTAGAAAACATAAGAGCTTTCGAGGAAAACCGTTACCAGATGAATTTTTTAAATTAATTGTAATGTAAATAATAAATTTAATGTAAAAAAGTACAGTATTTTTTCTCTATGTATCAACATGTTTTAAAAACCATTTTTATAAAAATATCAAGTAGAGTAATATATCAAAATTATTTGTTTGTCTTGAAGATTCTAAAAACTAAAAAAAATTTTTGTACGCGTATAGTCACCTTTAACACGCGTAAGCGCGCAATTTACGCGTCAAAGCTGCGCATTAAAAAAAAATTATTTACAAATTTGAAATCTTTGACTTGAAAATTATTATTTTAATATATAACATTATTCACTTACGATTTATGTCAATTTTTATTGAATTTTTGTCGTTTTTTGATTGTCCTGAGTCACTGTGCGTTGATTCAAGATTCTAAAAACAGTGCTTAAAGATGCGCGCAAATAATAAACCCAATTTTCTTATAATCGCATTTCAAATTACTTAGCATTTTGTGGTGTTTTACCTAGCAATTTTAGGTTTCTGATTTAAAAAGCTATATAATAAACTTTTTGAATTTCTTTTAAGGTGGTTCTTATGTAATCAAAAAA